AATTAGGGACCTCAATGACCACAAATTCACGTTGTTCCACCTGTAAGAAAGCATCTGCGATATCCATCACGGACACCATCAATTTCATCGTAATGCTCAATGACAGCAAAAGTTTGATGAATGACAGCGGACTCGTAGGGCTGAATGTCTCCATGGATGATGCAGCTCCACCTCTAAATTCTCTGGCAACTGGAGACATGATGCTCTTGTTCCCGCAAAATCAGCATTTTCACTACGTGCAGAAGAAGATCCTTGAAGGATGTGGCTGGTATGCGGTCAGCTGGACATTTGAGAGCTATGAATTAATGATGGTCATGGTTTATTTCAAATGTGGAGATGGCATCCAGATCCAACAAACGCTGAATTATGGGCCAATTTAACGACCTTTGTCACCAGCATCAATAAATCAATGGTCATCATGGGAGATTTCAACATTACGCCGGAGAATTTCATGACAACTACACTGGGGCAGCACATGCGTGTCCAGGTCATTGTAATTGGTGAAGAAATATTCCACATGGGCAGCGAATTGGATTGGGCTCTAATTTCAATCCAACTTGCAGCAGATTTGGAGGTACAGACGAACTGGTGTGTCCCTTTCAAGCCATATGCTATTCTGCAGTACCAATTGAGAGGCCATTTTGAGGCCAAATCCGTCCAACAGCTCACCAAGTTTGGGCCGGCACCCAAACTGGAGAAGCCGGAGAGAACATGGCACCAATCGAATCACAAGAAATACATGTCAATTGGCTCAATCAGCATGCAGATCCTTTGACAAAGCAGATGGGTTCGATGTATTAATGCATTGAACGGTATATTTTGCAACAATTGAATTGCCCTAATGGAGGAAGAGGGCTGACTTTGCAACATGTATATCGACCTATCCATGATGCTAGCAAATCTTGGTTTTGGAGGAAAGGAAATTTTGCATATTGGAATCAGATAGAGTTCCATTTGCAGCAGCTATTGCATCAAGATCACCGTGAAGCCATCCATCAAACACTGCTGCAGAAACTTGGGTGGAAATTGGAAGAGCATTGGTTCGACATGCCGCGAATATTATGTCAGGGTTTCCATATGTTATTTGATATGCTTTGGCATCAACACGGTGACGAGCACATTCATGTCCTTCTGAATTTTGCCCAAACGCAAAGAGAACTTCATCAAGCAGAAAGCTTCCTGCTAGAGAACAAAGATTGGCAAAAAGGTTTGGAACCATGGGGAGCAATTTGGCAGATCCAAAATCAATCGGTCCTCATTGGTTATTTAGAGAAGCTCATTGAAAAAGGCCAGTAGGAGGCAAAACACCTTCCCTTTCTTGCTGATGGTTACATCTGGAAAATAGTTAAGACTCTTTCGATCAAAGCTCCAGGACTAGATGGATTGGGTTTCGACTTCCTCCGTTCCTTGCCAAGGGAGGCGATGAAAGACCTGCGCGGGATATTTCAAATCATTGAGGAACAGGCCATGATCCCCAGCCAATGGAAAACCTCATTGATTGCCATGCTGCCCAAAAACAACAGCATAGAGCGACCTATCGCTCTTGTGGCCACCATGTACAGGCTATGGTGTCGCCTACGAAGTGATCAAACAAAAGCGTGGGCTCGAAATATCCAGCATGATTTCCCATGGGAACGTACGGTTCCTGGAACGGAGTGTTTGCAAGTGGCGCTCAAACGAGCTTTTCTCACTGAATACCATGCTGCACACAAACGAACGGTTATCTCGGTGCTTTTGGACCTTTCAAATTTCTGTGACAGGATCAATTTGGAAAAATTGGCACTTCGTTGGCTGGAGTCAGATTATCCTGCTATATATGCAGCCATGGCTATGCAGATTTACACCGGCCAAAGAATCCTGGAGGCAGAAGGGGAAGCCTCCCAGCCGATTTGGACAATACACGGCATTTTGGCCGGAGATCCGCAAGCACCTCTGGCTGCAAAGGTCTACCTGCAAAGAGCCATGAAAGAATTCCACAGAAAGTATCCACAATTTCACTCTAACCTGTGGATAGATGATTTCAACTTCGATGTTGTTGATCGCAGTCCGCAAAATGCAGCACGCATTGCTATCCAGGCCTATGAGTTCATCAAAACTGAACTGGAGAAAGACAATTTGAAAATTTCTGAACAGAAAACTGGATTCATTGTGTCAAATGCAGCTGCAAAGAGGATTTTGACCGAATAATTCCAAGCAAGAGGGCCCAAAGTTCACGACGTGATGAGGGACTTAGGCATAGATTGCACAGCAGGACGCCTTCGTCGAGTGCAGACGATGAAAGCCAGACGCAAGAAAGCGGGAAGAAAGACAGCGAAGTTGGCAGCGCTCAAAATCATCAACAGGGCCATCAAACTCAAGCTGTACAAAGGTAGCATCATCGCTGGCACAAGCTGGGGTCACCAGGCCATGGGCTTAGCTCCACAAGTTCGACGTCGCATCAGAGCAACTATGGCGGGCGACAGATTGGCTTGCAAAAAATAGGAAATTTGGACATCCTGTTTTCGATGCACCCACGGCACAAGGACCTAGACTATGCGACCTCCACCGACCAGATCAAGGTACACCACAAATTCTATAGCAACTGGCCGGAAGTTCTGGCCAAAGATCTGAATCTAGCGTGGGCAGTCCAGAGGGAGAAACTCCAGAACGTGTAATATCCCTGGCAGCATGCCAAAGGCCCAGTGGGAGCCTTGCTGGACAATCGACAAGCACAATGAGTGGACAAAGCCCGGACAGAATGGTAATCCTGACTTCAAGCTCAACATAAATGCAAAGTGGTTCTATCTCAACATGAATGCAAAGTGTTTCTACCTCCAAAGACAACTTAAGCGTGCAAAACAATAGGAAACAATGATCAAGTTAAATAAAAGAACATTATTGCAAGAAATTCAATAACCACTAGATTGGTTGCCGTGGCGAAGATTATCCAAAAGCCTCCCAAAGGCGCAAAATAATGCACTCCAGATATGGCACCAAGGAGCGCTTTTCACCAAGACGGCGGAGGCAGATGGCAGTCGTCAGCTCATTTATCCTCACTGTAGTGTTGAAGTCAACACCATCCATGTGTTCTCGTTGTGCAAGGAGATTTAAAAAGGCATTTCCGCCACTCGATCCGATTGACAAATAAGAAATTAAATCAGGGCTAAACTTGGAATTTTGATCCCAGAACCTCCTGCAATTGCCACGCTATGAGTTGTCCACTGGAAGCGCGGCGATCCAGACATGGGGCTCCTAGACTATTCATAATAAGGTCAGATTGCAAGGCCATTAATATGGGGACAATTAGTTTTTGTCAGACAAGCGCCGATCCTCACCTACGACATTTTGTTGTGACAATCGTGCACCACACTTTAATCGATAGAAAAATTTACCGCAAAGATGTGGTAACAACCGTATTGCCAGAATAGTAATCAATAAAGCGAATATTACGTCGATCTGTTAAGTCAAGTGCGGGTGTAAATCCTTTACATCAAGGCCTAGAAAGCTTAAATTCATAGCAAACATTTCGAGACCTTCTACGACTTATAAAGTTTGCCGACACATAATCGGAAAAACCGGATTTGGCCCATAATCTTAAACCAATAGCAACTCAAAAAGATGCCACCAAGGCCTTACACAATCAAGGCAAAAATAAAAAATACCAATAAGGTTACCAAAAAAATAATCATATCCAAAAGACCAAAAAATAAAGAAGAAAAATTCCGGCTAACTAATCATAAATATAACCAAATTCAGAAAATCCGGCATTTATTAAAAACCAGTATTTCCATAAAGCCAAAAGCCTCAAAAACCCAAATAACTCCCGAGGCCTCGTAAGCTCCAATACCACTAGTACAATAAACGCATCATTAAGCATCTTAAAATTAAGATTCACCAGAAAATTCATAAAAAAATCCCCAAATCAAATCACGATAGAACTCACAAATAAAATCCCGGCAACAACCCAAACCAAAACAAAACTAATTCAAAATCTCCTACAAAAAATACATCCTCAAATAACGTAATACCAATTTAATATGCAAATAAACTACATTATTTATATAAAATACAATAACCGCATTTTACAATATACAACTAACGAAAAAATAAAAGAATTAACATAATCGACTTACTAAATTTATAAATAACAATACGAAAGAAAAGAAAACGTCTTTTCTACATCAATTATAAAACAAACGCCATCATAACGAATACGCAATTCGGCCCAAACAAAATACTATTAAAACCATATAACAATAAAACTCAATAAACGAACCTTCCCACATTATTCGCAAACCAATACGACTAAGAAAGAATATATAGAAGTAAAAGACACGAGAAAAAATATATATATTTGAATTGTATTTATTTTTTGTTTAATATATATATATTTAAATTTTATCTATTTTTTGTTTAATTCGATATTTTTATATTTTATTTTTATGTTTGTATTTTTATTTCCAAAAAATCGATTATTATCGAATATGTTCAATATATTTAATTTTTGCTTATTTAATCCATTCTATTCAATTCCTGATTACGTCACGACAATTGGATTTTGATTGTAATAATCAAGGATTTTCGTGGATTTGGTCAACAAGAGTTAGCGCAATAAAATATCCCTCTATATACAATATGTAACAATGTTGGTTGTCATTTCCTTTCCAGATTGAAACTTATACTTATACCGATAAATCTCAGAGCATATTGATTGTCCACACAGGTATTGCACTGTGCCATAAGAATCTAAGGTCTTTGCCGTGCTCGTCGTTGGCCTCAGTAGTCTCGTCAGCCCTGTACGACCTTCGAAATAATCTCTCTAGCGGACACCGGAGGGACATGGTCGTCCACGCATCCAATCTATTACGCAACAACTTCGGAGCCTTCATGGCATTTCCGCCCCATTGTAGAGCTGCGAGAGGACGACGCAACCCAAACGGAGTTGATGACATCCAGCGTCCAACTGATCCACCGATACATCAGAAATCCGCAATGAAGCTAAGAGTTTGACTGTCCGAAAATTACACCGCCTCGACGGCGTCTTGGAGCATCTGCTCTGGGCCTGGGGAAGGAGCAAGCCACTCAGGGTCCACCGGCTAAGAAGACGGGGATCTTCTTCGGTTCCGGTTGAGAAGTTGAGATAGTTACTTGCAGGATCTTGCAGGTGAATATCTTGGGGACCGAACGTCCATCATTGGACGCAATGGACGACCCATTCCCACATCATCTATCTGAAGGAGCAAAAATCATGTTCCATGGTGCATATATCCAAATGAGTTTGGAGAAAGGACCAGCACCTGTGAAACCCTGCTTCAAAATGCGAGATGTACTCATACTTGTTGCCACGAGCAATTTTCCGCAAACCATTGCAGTATGAGAATCAATCTCACTTGGAAGCTTTGTAGTGGCAATACGTGTGAGCTATTCAGATCGGTGGTCCATGAAGCCCTCACATTCAGTGCCAAACTCACCATCTGGTAGGCCAAAGGAGCTGGTTGCTTCGCTCCTGCGATTTGCCAGCGACGTCAAGTAAGTATGAGGAGTTGAAACTGCACCAGTCATGTCTGAGACGTGCAGTTCTGATTGATCGATGTGCTCTCTGGCCTGGTGAATGGACTGTGGAGCAACTCTAAACCCCCGCCAGCGCCGGGTTTGAGTCCTTTCTCCAGTGATGGACCTTGATGGTGCTTCTTCAGGTGGACCAAGTGAAAGGCTTTGGGTCTCCTTGGCAACGACTGGGCAAACTCAGATGTTGGCTGTTGGCACGAAATTGCAATCTGGGTCTCTGTTAAACGCGATCTGCCCCAACAACAAAAGCAACGTATCGACGTTTTGCTTTTCAACAAACAACATGGGAACATCATGGAGCATCATAGTGAATCTGGTGGCTGGCAGGACCAATTTCTGGCACCTTCAGAACAGAAGTAGGGCTGTGATCCATGCACACTTGAGCTTCCCACCGTTTTCGACACGCTGCTTGGATTCCCTGACCTGGGAACTCAAAGCTGGCATGGCATGAACAGTGAAGCATGACTCAGCATGACGTTATATTATATCATGACGTTATATTATATCGTGCTTTGAGCACGTCAGTGTGTTTTGTCTTGACGAAACGTAGCATGATCCGCCGACACGGTTTTGGACCGAGGGAGGTGCCCAGTGCCAATGATTCTTGTAGTCCACTACAAAGGTAGTGTTAGGCACCGTTAGGCCAGCGCGGGGTGGTTGACTTTTGTTTTCTTGGCATGGAACTACCGTTTCGAAGCATTTCCATTGGAACCTTTTTCGAAAGTTCGAAGGTAACGTTAGGCCTCATGAAAATGTGGGGCATGGCCAGGTCTAGGTGCAAGGGACAAGGATTGTCCCATTCATTCGTTTAGTTGAATCCAAAGGAAGCTCCGTTAGGAGCTGGGCTGGGTGGTTGATTTTGGTTGTTTTCGCATGGAACTGCAGTAGATGGTCGAATCCTGTTTCGCAGCTTTTTGAAGAGGGTTCCAACGGTGCAAACGGAGGCGCATGGGACAGGGATTGCTTGATATTTGTAGTCAATCCTACAGGCAGCATCAGGCCCCGTCAGGCCTGCTCTGTCCATAGCCAGGTTGGGCCAGCTGGTTAGATATGGTTCTGCAGGCCGACCAGGTGTATAGGGTCATGGTACAGGGATTGTCTCATTGTTTTTGTCACTTCCAAAAATAATCTCTTCAACACTTCCAACCTATTTGTGGTCTCTCATGGGATGGCATATGCAATTCTTGGTAGGCTTTGACACTCGGTTGCACACACATGATCAAGAAACGTCTTCAAAAAACAGTCGGGTCGGTGGAAACGGGTGGCCACCCGATTATTTTGTGACGTGCAACTAGATCAAACGGGCCGCAGCTTGATTATTGGGCCAGCAGGGGCCGGCCCTGGCAGGCCCGCAGGGAAGGTCTGGAGGCACGCCAGGGCAGAGACGGAGCCTTGTAAATACCGGTGGTTTGGCTCGTGCACATGCAAGAACCTTTAAACACGATGTGCTTTTAGCGTTTTTTCAACGCATGATGATAAAACATTGCATATTCTTTCTCGTAAGGTTCCCCCTTCCTTCAAGATGGCCCCAAGGTGCGAGTTCTGCAGCTCAAGTTGCCTTGCATTACATATATATGAGATTATATAAGCATTTTCTGTTTCTGGTCAAAGCAACAACCACCACGACCACCACCACCACATCAACAACAACAGCCATAAGAAAAATACAGCAACAACAACAGCAACAACAACAACAGCAACAACAACAAAACCAACTCCCACCAACTCCCACCACCATCACCACCACCACTACCACCACCACCACCATCATCACCACCACCACCACTAGTACTATCTCCTACTACTCCTGCTGCCCCCACTCCTACCACTCCTACCACTCCTACTACTCCTACTCCTGCTGCTGCTGCTGCTGCTGCCTACTACTACGACGACGACGACGACGACTGCGACTACGACTACGTTTGCTTGTTCTTCTCACCACATCAACAACAACCACAACCACCACCACAACAACACCAACAACAACCAAAATAGCAACAACCGCAAAAACCAAAACAACATAGAAATACAAATAATATAAGCAAGATTAAACAAGGAGAAGAAGAAGAAGAAGAAGAAGAAGAAGAAGAAGAAGAAGAAGATGAAGATGAAGATGAAGATGCAGATGCAGATGCAGATGCAGATGGAGGAGGAGAAGGAGGAGGAGAACAACAAAATCAGAACCACAACCACAGCCACAGCCCCAACAACAACCACAACAAGCACAAGTCTCACCTCTTTCCCCGTGCCGCCTGTCACTGAACGCCTGCTGTTGTCCGTAAGCCCCTTAAACTTCGTGACATGCAATCAGATCACACAGCAAGCACAACATACATGACATTTTCAGTTTGTGGGGAAGGCACTTGTTACATTGGATCCTCTGAGCTGTCCGGCTGTCCATAGATACTTCTTCGACGCCTTGGTCCTGGGCCACCCTCTTTAGGCCTTGGGATAACATTGGAGTCTGTCTGTCTGTCCAACACCTCCCAGGCATGGCATGGCGTCGCTGCAAACCGTTTCAACATCATCCGCGCATCGTTTCCTCTGAATGGAACAAACTGGTCCATGGCTCCTGTATATATATATATATTGCGATTCGTGTTTCCTTGAGAAAAAGATATACAGTAATTACGCTTTTCGTGGAGCTGCATGTGCCGTGAATGTTTGTGATGAATGGAGTTGCCCTACTAGTGCCTTACTAGTTGTAACAAGAAGCTACTAGGAACAAGTGCATCGCTTCTAGTAACAAGT